ATATATATATATATATATATATTCTCAATCTGGGAATTTGTGTGCAATATGGAGTGCGTTTGCTCCACTAGACACGGAATAGACACTTGCTTTGATGAGCTAGTGTTACTGAAACTTGGTATCAGAAACCTTTCTAGATGATGTTTGCAGAGTAAGACTGAGAGACAAGAAGCACTCCTCTGTTATCAGGCCCATCCCCCTGAGTCCAGATGGACTCAATAGGACCCTGCAGATCCTCTGGCTCACAGCAGTTTAAAAAAATACCTATTTTACAAATAGGCAAAATTACTTATTTCACTTCTTAAAGGTGGGAAAGAGGCCGAGCCCTTTCAGATGACTCCTTTTTATAATGTGATGATGTTGGTGTGGAACTGAAAGATTTGGGATGATTTGGTTTTTTCCTTGGTCCACAGGTAGGTGTCACAATTGCTTTGGAAAAAAAAAAGTCAGCAGGCCATTCTTTCTTCCCAAGTTCATAAATACACAGACGTAAAAAGCCGCGCTCACCCGGACCGCATCTTGTGCCACTGTAAAGGAAGGAGCCCGCAGAGCACTGTCAACTCAGACTAACCGAAACGAACAGACTTTTGTTGGATAGACGTGAATTTGTTGGCATAGTATAGCTTCCCCAATGTACGTGTGACTTTTGAAAACAATCTTTTTTCTCAGGATATCTTGAATTGATCACTTCATTGCCACGGTATATATGCTATAGGTGTGATAGGATTTACTGTAAAATTTATTTGTAAAAGATGTACACAGTAGAAATAAAACGTGATTGAAGAACTTGAGTACTTAAAAAGTGGAAACAAATTTGATATTTATTTTTATAATGATATAAAGCTTCTAGTAATTTATGCAAGTTGTATTGCAATGGAATCTAAACTTTTTGTAAATAAATTCTGCCTGGTTTTTATTTGAACATTGCTGGTTATACAATCTTTGTTGGTTGTTTAACAATAATTCTTTACTAATTTATATCTTAAATTGTAAATAAAAACAGACTAGACTACAGCAACATGGTGTTTGGGGCTCCTTTTTCTTAAAAGAGTGCTTTGGGTAGAGAGCCCCAGGGATAGCAGTGACAGCAGTCCCCACCCCAGGTGATCTGACCTCAGGCTTTTTAAAGATAATGTGTAAAATAACCTCCCCTTTCTGCTCATAAAAAAAAGGCAGATGGAAGAGAAATAAGCAGTAGGGAGATATCTGTGATGTTTAGGTTATTTATATACACATGTATTGCAAGGAAATTAAAATTTTGTGCTCTGAATATGCAAAATACTTGTTAGTGTAAATATTTTTAAGCTTGGCAAAATAAAATGACCTGACATCCCTGTGCTTGAGGATCCATTTAATATTTATTTATTACCTCCTCAGTAAAGTAAACTGGAAAATTGTGGTAACATGGATAGTAAAGAGTTACACCCCCACCATAAATTACTGATGGAAATGATTATTTATTTTAAATAACTTTAAAGCCCGAATTTTCCAAATTGGCATAGATTATTCAGATTTATTGAATGACTTCTTAACTCTCCTTTTCGTATAACTCACATTAAACACAAGGCGAAAACTGGGAGGAGAGATTTATTTTCCTCTCAGTGGCTCTTACCCTTACCCTGGGGGAAAAGAAAAGCTTAAACACCCTTAGACTATTGCCTCATTATTGTGTTACTCACTATCTAATTATAGGACAAGTCTAGAATTTGTAGGCAAGTAACATATTTCCTTTGATTAGTATCATAAAAGCAGGAAACCTGTCACTTTAATTTTCAGCAAAATTATATGGATATCCATATAATATAATTTCAGAAAAGAAATGAACAATCATTTATTTCCTCTGCAAAGATAAATTGAGTGAATATAACTTACGGTTATAAAACAAGAATAATAGCTCCTCAGATTGCCCTTTAATCAATCATACACTTATTTTTCAAGAGGTTCATCTATTTTATTCCGTGATTAATAATGCTGCAGCATGAGCACATTATTGCATCCCAGCGGGGGACGTCCCGGGTGCTTTTAGCTGCTTTGGAATGGTCAGTTGGGGTTCATTATGGGCTGATATTGAACAATTTATAAAATCTTGTCTAAACATCTGCCAGCTCAGATAGGCCCATGTGTCTGAGGATGGGAAATTGCTGGACCGCTTGATATTGACAAACGGATCTCTCTCCAGTGGCTTTTTGTGCTGTAGAAATTAGTGGCCTCTTGCTGGGGTCTTGTTAGAAAGGGTATTTGAAAGTAATCTTGGGTACTTGAGGCAAAGCTAGGAGGCTGTGAACTGGACACTGACTGGGCCGTGGGAGGAGCGGTTGTGGTTTGTGGAGGAAAGGAGCAGATTCAGTTTTCGGTTTTCGGTGACTTCTTAGGCATTTTGTTGGCTTTGGATATATAACCATTTGGAGGTTAGACTTAAAGTGAATATTTGGGGTCCAGAACTCTTTATCTCTTCTTCCTGCCTCCCCTAGTAATAGATGAGGAGAGGTTTGGAGCTGAGCTCTCTCTCAGGGACAGGAGGGTTGTTCACATGGGCGCCTGGCCACTGGGGCAGTATGTCTGGAGGAAAACAAATGCCCATCTGTGGAAGTTACAGGGAGCTGCTGGGAGCGTCTTTGCTTGTTTTTGTTTGAGACATAAAACCTCATAGAATTTCTGTGAAGATAATGATTCCCCCCCGCCCAGCAAATAGCATTTTTAGATTACAGTATGAAGCTGATAAGTCGTTGGCTTTTATTAATATTAGCCATCTTTCCTAAATCCGCGGGGAATACAACACACATGGCGGCAATATCTCTGTTTTATGTAATATTCTAAGTTGAGTATTTTGAAGACTTCAGTGAAAAGGATGAAAGTTAACAATATTTAACAAATTAAACGCTGGAAGACCACACAGCCTCATTAAGATGCAACGCTGGAGACACTCCATCTCCTAAAGTGTGGAGAGTGCGAGTAGAAAACCCCAGCAAAAATTGATCTCCGCGCATATGTTCAGAAATTGAAGCCTGGATAAAAGCTGCCTCCCTTTGGAGCAGAAGATTGTGTTACCTGGACATGTGATACATCCCCCCACACAGGCACACACCCCAGACAGACCCCATTCTCAGGGACAACTGCACCTTTCAATTGGTGAATACTCAAAGCAGCTCAGGAGATTAGCCCAGGCTAACGAATCTTCTTTGATGTTTATATGCCCAACAAATTATCAGAGATTTCCATAACTTACCCACCCTGCCTCCTGACCTGGATTTCTTCCTGGAGAACTTGATTTTTAAATGTACACTAAGAACATAAAACCTGCAGGTGTTTAGGGGGATCTTTTTAAAGAAATGCCGAGTGATTTATGAGCTCTTCGCCATGCAGATCTTTAGTTAAGATGAAGGGAGGTGGGGGTGAGGAGGTATCTTTTATTGGGGAAGGATTAATGGGGTCTAATTTTATTTTTGCTTTAAAATCTAGTTAATTAAAAATATAGTCGCCAGCCATGTGCAGTTGCTCCCGGAGGCGGGCACAAGGGGAGCCGGAGCCACGCAAGCGGCTGGGTGCTGGCCCGATCACACTCCGGGCTCCGTGGCCCCTCTGCCCTCTGCGGTCCGGGGTTCATTAGAGCTGATTTATCGGAATTCGCGCTTTAATCTCAGGTGGGCCAGGAGGCCCTGCGCTGCCCAGAGCACAGGGAGCGCATGCCCGGCGGCCGCTGCCTCCCGCGCCCATCAAATGTCAACATTTGTTCCCAATAAAAGAGTTATTGTTTCTGCAAAGCTGCCCAGCCACTGCCTTTGAAACTTGAAAAGAACTTCATCCACCTTTGTCTGATGCGAGGCAGGAGGGGAGGGGCGGAGCGGAGGGCGAGGACTGGGGCCTGTCTGCGCTGCCTGGAGTCCAGGGGGCGCCTGCCTTCACCCCCTCGCGGGCCGCCGAAGCTCATTCGGGCTACGCTCTGCACGCGTTGATCAGGTATCTGGGGTCTCTGCGCGGTGCAAACCACTGCAAAACAAACAAACAAAAAAATTCCTACAAAACACAGGAATTTAGCAGCCGCGCGCAAAAACCGGGTGAGTTTTAGGGTCATTTAAAATTGCATTAAATTATTTATTAAAAAGGCTAAATGAGTAAAGGGGACCTTTCATTTTTTAATGTTTCGTTATAAATTTGCCCTAAACTTCCACTGCTAGAGTTGAGGTAAACAGACATAAGTTTAAAAACATTCCAAGCCAATGTCTCTTTTCAGAGTCAACCCTTTTCAAATTTAAATACACTGAATTTTTAGCAAGTTCTCCTGAGTAGCAAAGCAATATACAATGATTATCCACTGTGTAGGTTTTCTTTAGTTATCCAGTGCATTGAAATCTCAAGGAAAACGTCCCTCCCCCACTTTTTTACTACAAATTAAGGATTTAAATAGAACTTTAAATATGTGTTTTTAACAGTTTTACAAAATATAACATTTCAAGCATTTTTAAAATGTGTTAACCCAAGAGGCAATCTTGGGAACAATACACGTTTGTGATACGTGGCTATTATGATTAACACCATTTGAATTTCTACATATCGTAAAGGAGACATGTCCCTTTGATGTGTTTTTCAAATCTTTATGTGACAAATCCCTGCAGATATTTTAAAGGCTTATTATAAGGAGAAGTAATCTATGACAATATAATTTTCCAGTTGCTGAAAATTACTTTCTATTGGCCATAATGAAAGCACAGGCCAGCCATCCCCTTTGGTTTGGCTGGAACTCTAGGGATATGGTATCTGATGATATGCACTTGGACTTCAGCCTTTGGTGGGAGAGGGAGAAGAAACCTATAACCCCAGTTTTACCTGCAAACACCCCCTATTTGCATGCTTCACCTGCTACTCCTGCAAAGAGAGAGAGTCTCCACTAACACCCCCTTCCCCCCAACACACACACAGAGTAGGCCTGTGTTCCCTCTCCTGAGGACAGAGCGGTCTCCCACTTTCTAAGAAAGGTAGAGATTGAAGATGTTATAAAGGAAGACTATACTGGTAATGTAATAAAAATGAAATGAGTTATGAAATCACTCTGTTCTGTGCAATCCCAGGAACAAGGAAAGAGGAAGAATGTTTTTGTTTAAGTTTGGCCCCAAGGTAAAAGGGAAAAGTTGTTTGTTTTTAAGGTGTCCCAGAGTAACTTTGTCCCATAAGAAACTGAAGACAAATGAAATGTAATATTCTTAAAGAAGCGACTGTGAGGTTTGGGGCTGCCTCCCAATGTGAACGGAGTTGATCTCCACAGGAAATGCCCACAGGGAAGACACAAAACAATGCTACACAAGCACGTGTATCCTTGTGGGGAGATAAATTGACAATTTATCCTGTGTAACTCCTGATCAATTATTAATCTTTAGTGTCAACAACAGGGCTATAATTACTTTGGTTATTTTCATATTTATTTTTTCTTTTCTCTGATCCGGTAATTAGCTAATGGTTTTGAGTAATGAACCTGGAGACCAGGTCCTCGGGGCCCCTCCTTTTTGATGACCTTTAGGGAAAACACTCACATTCACCCTCCTGTTCGCAGACATCCCTTGCCTGTCTCCATTCTACCACACCGCACCTTTTTCCCCCCCTCCCTGCCATAAATAATGATCCTAGAGGAAAAGGGGAAAATGACAAACAAATAGGGCGCAGCTGGAATTAATAAGGCTGATCAAAGTTAGTGGGGCTGGGACTGCTTGCAGCAGCGCAGGTCTGAGGTCTGAAAGGTGCCAGCAGTTCTTGCCTTCCCTCCAAGATCAAGAGAAAGGGCAAAGCGGACATTTAACCCCTGACTTATTCTAATAGGGGAGGGGTGGGCCGGGGAGGACCCTGCAAACTCGGTTTCCAGGCCGGGCTAACTCTGGCAGGGCGGCGGTCTGGCCTGCGGACGGGAAGGGCGCTCTGCTTTCGCTCGGCGCGGGTGCAGGTCCCGAGTGTACTCCGGCTCCCACCTCACCTACCGCCCGGGGCCGCGCGGAAGGGATTCCTCGGAAGGTTGGGGGGTGAAGTAGGAGGTTAGCTGAGGACAAGTAGGTGGCCCGGGAGGCGGGGCGGCCGCTCGGTGCCGGAGAGGCGTGGAGGAGAGAGGCGGTGTCAGCCCTGGGAGCCGCTCCGCTGCGCGGAAGGAAGACCTAGGTTGTCACCGCTGTCGCCCTTACGCCTTCCAAACGCCAGCGGCCGTGGGAAAGGTACGGGCGCCGGAGGAGGCCGCCGATCGCGGTGGGCCTGCTCCCTGCCCACCTTATCCCGGGGAGCCCTGGTGCCCGAGCCTCCTTAATGCACGTACAGCCCCGCCAGGCTGGGCTCCGCGCGCGCGTATTTTGTTCTCACATAAC